TTTTCATTTAAAACCACCAGACGTCTCCTACCAATTCCTAAATTACTATAATATACTCTGCTCCTAGATCAGAAATGCTAATGCTGAAAAATGGAAGACAGGGTGATGTTTGCAAATGTAATTTAGTATATACATCAACGGCATAAGGGATACACACACACACACACACACACACACACACGTATATAAATAGGAGTTGGTGACTTCACTATCAACAAGGACAAAAAGTTAACATTTATATCGCTTTCTTCCTCATACCCCCCAAAATCTTTAATCCTAGAAGATAGTTTAAAATGAACTTAGCTAATGGAACTGTAATAGAATAGCAAATACCGGTACACTCAGTATAATTTCAGCATGTGAGAAAGCAGCCTCGTTCCTCTACTCAGCTACAAAGAATTTAATCTAACACACTGTGATGATAGGGTCATTAATCTCTCCAAAAACAACAACAAAAAAACTGCTCTTCAGCTCAATCACTGCCTATGACTGTGTCACCTACACCAAGAAAGGCTCCACCAGACAGCAGTGGACAGCCACCTGGCATGAACTCTCCCAGATGGTTTACACAGGCCAAAATGACAAGGAAAAACATATGACTCATCTTGAAATTAAACTATTATAACTGACTTGTAAAGGACAACCTTTACGTCGGTAAGTCCATTTCCTCTCTTAAGACTTCAACAACAAGAAACTGGTAACAGAATTAAATAAAACACCTACTCACTTTCCACATCTCTCTGCTCTCCCGTGCCAAAATTTTAACGCAAATGGGTAGAATTTAAGTTACCTATAGCTTACCTAACATAATTACATGTTGTGTTTTACACCGTTTCAAAACGGATATATTAAAATGATCCCATCTTGGCTCCTACCCACTAAAGTCAATAAAGGTTATTAAGGCCAACTGCCATATAAATGCACTGTGGTCCCCAGCAAGAACTGTCAAGACATGAAATGCAATTCAAAACATTCAAAATGATCAGGACCTGGAAAAGCATGAAGAAATTTCTCTCCAGTATATCAATCATCAGTACTTCCGAAAATGTCGACTCCGGAAATTATCCTAGAATATTTCGATCGGATTACACTAAATTGACCTTTTGTTTTTTAAGGTCAAAAGGAAATGAATAAATGTCGTCAATTTAAGAGGCCATCGCACCTAGCATTCTTTTCCGTCTCATTGTGAATTTGATGGTGTTAAAACGTTTTTATGGGTAAAATAAATGTCAGTTTTGCAAAGCGCGATACCAGACCCTAAGAGACACATGGCCTATCCGTTGGATCTCTGGCTACAGCAAGACTTCCTCACCTCACGGGAGACTTCGGCTTTTCATATTTCTCTTTACCCAGAAAGCAAAGCTTGTACGGTTTCTTTCAAATGGTAACTCTCTCTTATCCTGGAGAGTCTCCTCCTAAGACGCTAATCTTGGTTGTGAGGTGGTGGGCTGGCCGGAGAAAATAAAATAAAATAAAACACACACATTTGAACAGTGTTCTGGCATCATAGTGCCTTCCTGAAGAGGGAGCAAAGAAGAGAGAAAAGGCAAGGCTAACTTCTTGGGTTGTAAGAAAGGGTTGTGTTGCTTCGGGCTCAATGGCTCATAAATTCATAAGGTAATACTCAGGGAAAATATGATATTTTATCAGAATGCCATTCAAATATAAGGTTTAACATTTACATCACAAGAGTAAGCACAGGGTAAAACTATCCTCGGGGAGAGAAATGGCAAGAATAAACAGTGTGATAAAAACAGTGCTTGCTGGGACAGGGAATGGGAAGCAAAGGCTGGAGGAGTTTTAGAGGCAGTGGACTAAACTTTTTGAAATATGCGACTGGTTATGACATGTGAAGCAATTACCATTAATGGAAGAAAGGCGATTTCAAAGCGCATTTTCCGTTCTTCTGCATCCAACCTGAGACTACACGTCCCAACCACAAAGTGGGGGGAGAAAAAAGAAAAAAGGCAACGCAGAGACAGAGAGAAATCACAACACAAGTCCTGGTACGAGGGCCGTCCGAGGCTGCTTTACTCATAAGCAAAAGGTGAAAAGTAATGTGCGGATCGCCTGGGGTTTTTTGTTTTGTTTTGTTTTGTTTTGTTTTCACCGAAAGAGACCCACGCTACGGGGCAGAACAGAGAAAATGCACTAATTAGAGAAGCCTTTCCACAACACACACACATGCTTTTACCATTTTAAAAAAGCACAGAGATAAAGAAGAATCATTTGTCGAGAAGGATAACGATTTTGAGTAATACATTCCCTGGAAGCAAAGGGAGTACATTCAGAAACGCTGTTCAGATTAGTCTAATTCTATAGAATCCAAATGTGCACCAAACACTGCACTTTTTATGTTAAATTGCTGTTGAATTTGTTAACCCACAACTGATTTCCTGTGTTATGGAATCTTGGAGATTACAGCTAACTTGAAGCAACAGGGATAATTCTTGACAGTTAATGGTACATTTGTATGCATTTTCCTGAAAGGCCGGCATCTTGAGGCCTCAAACAGGTAGCTCAACATTGCCCCCTACTGCTTGCAAGTGCAAACATATGAGGTGGGCTGGTACAAAGCAGGAATTGAACTGGCCGGGCCAGTTCACAAATACCAGATGGCACTGAGCTAACAGAGCCACAGAACCATAGGCTTGCCCAATGACTATGGTCTTCTGTCTCTTCCAATAGCAAAAATAAATTCTTATGAATTTGTTAAAAGTCATTTAAAGAGGCTTGGAGCCATGCTTAAATTGAATTTAGAAGGATCATCCCTTTTATGTTGGCCCAAACCTCCACTCTGCTGATAATGATCACCCTGAGGCTTGCTGAGGAGAGACACTGGGACCATTGATTTCACTCGGAACACTCAGTAATGCCACACCAACTGCAAGGAAGCTCGCTCTGGAGAATTCCCAAGACTGCTCTTCTTCTGGGTATTTTTTACACAAGAGTTATAAAGTAAACAGAAGATATTCCTTCTAACTGATGTGCCATGGTCCGATTAAAAAAGAAATGACAACTAAATCTTTTAAATGAATTCATAATGAATATGATCCGTAAGCTCACAATACCGAAGACTTCTCTTTAAGAGACAAAAAAACAAAAACCAAAAAACCCTTGAACAAAAGTGGTGCAAAAATAAATTTTTATTTAGTGATGTATTTATTTATTTTACAAAATCAGTGAGTTCTTTTCTCATTAATTTGCCAATTCTAATACGTGGAGTCGTCAAGTTACAATCCCAAAGTCCACCTGATGTCTTAGACTCAAAGTCTGGTAAATAAAGAGGTTCTTCCAACTCATATGTAAATGGACAAGCCGAGAAGAACATCGTAAAAAAAATATGCTCTGTAAATGAAGTTGCCTTTATATATACATTCCATAAAAATGTAGCATGCTCCACACAGGCTAATTTTAGGAATAGAACTAAGGAGATTTAGGCATGGACTTTTCATTACTTCCAACTCAGTTTTACAATGCTCGGTTTTATACTGAGGTTCAGGTCTTTGGCGGAATCCATTTTTGTGATACCCTTAGTACAATAAAAGAAGGATTATTAACATTCCTTCCTCAGACACAGATCCATCGAAAGGCATGATTTAAACATCTGAAGAGATGTCTGGAAAGCTAGGGTCCAGATTCCGACCTGGACTTTCAAAGTAAGACCCCTCCAGGGTGGTGACTTGGTATTTTCATTATAAAACCTCGGTTTTATAACAGAGGTTGGCCACAGCTCCCCACTTGCGCAGATCGGATCCTTGTTTCCAGAACAAGTCTGAGTCTGTGCGGGCACCACCTCCAGGGTGCAGCAGGCTTTTACCACTTTTCCACTACATTTCAAGTTCAACAGTCTGGAGGCAGAGCAGCGAGGCAGTGAAGGGCGTGACCCTAGAGCCAGCCTTCCTGGGTTCAAATCCCCGTTCCCCCGCTTATGAGCCGTGTGATCTTGAGGAAGTTATGGAAACCTTTTGTGGCTCAGTCTCCTGGTTTATGAAATGGAGAACCATCATACCTACTTTATGGGGTTGCCGTAAAAGTTACAGAAGTTATACATAAAACATTCAGAATAGTGCCTGGTCCTTAATAAGTATCAAATAAGGGTCTGCCATTACTGCTATTCTTTAAATTGAGACTTAATTCAAAACTGGCAAGTGGCCTCAATTTTGCCTTCCAGCTATGCTTCTGACTCCACCCCCCGATCCCTTGCCCTGGCCGCGCTGGACTGCCCCATTTCCAGTCTCGTTTGTACAGTTCCTGGAGCCTAATGCTCCTCTCCCAATGCCCTATCTGACCCTACGCCTCCCCATCCAAAGTCCCCAAAGGCAACATCTGCTGTTTCACAACAGTCCTGGTCCAGTGGCCTGAATTTAATACTCCCTCCTCTGGCCTGTGATTTTTTTTTTTTTTTTTTTTTTTTTTTTTTTTAATCTCTATCACAGGCTTTCATTTTAGCTAATGTAACACCTGGCTATATTCATGTCTCTCTCCTTGTTAAACTGAATGCAGCAGTTAAGCTACAGAGCCAGACTGCCAGGGTCTCCATCTTGCTCTGCTGCTTACTCTGTGACCTTGGGCGAGGCACCTAATTTCTCAATGTCTCAGTTTTCACATCTATAAATTAAGGCTCATAAGGGTTTCTACACCTCGTAGGGCTGCTGTACGAACTTTAGAAGTTAATACAGGGAAAGCCCTTAGAACAGTGCCCGGTGCATCTAAAAATGCAAAGGCATTTTAAATCTTACCGTTCCATCGTGGTTCCCTCCTCGTCACTTCCTACCATGCGTCCAGCATGGTGCCTTATATGTGGGAAATACTCAAGAAAACGCCCACTGAACTCAAGTGAGCTTGTCCTGGCAAAATCCTGGCTGTTCCTGGCGAACAGTTACCTAACCCAATAATTTGGAATAATGAATTATGTATTTGCCTATGCAAATGAGGCAGCAGAGGGGTCACACAGCCCGGCGTCCCAGAAAATGTGGCCCCGGACCTCAGGTACTTACCACACCTTCCATCTTCTTCCACAGTTCCTCCAGTTGGGCCATGGGCTGACACCACCAATCACTGCATTTTCTGTATCGGTTGCCTTGAAACCAAAACTGTCTCAGCCACTCGAACTCAACCTGTGGGCCATAAAGAGAAGGCAGTTGTTACAATGCCTTCATGAGGGGCAATCAAGGACAACACTGTCACCCGATTCTCCTCCAGTAACTTAATTGCCACAGGGTGAGAAAAGCTCAGCCTAACTGGTTTCCAGTAGAACTCGGGGAGTCTCCAGAGCATTTCTGCAAAGCCAAGGGAAAAGCGGTCATAAGGGGCTCCTGGGTGGCTCAGTCAGTTAAGCGTCAGACTCCAGCTCAGGTCATGATCTCATGGTTCGTGAGTTTGGGTCCCACATCGGGGTGAGCTCAAGCCCCGGGTGAGCCCCATTCTCTCTCTCCCACCCCTCCCTGCCCCTGTGGGATTCTCTCTGTCTCTCTCTCTCTCTCTCTCTCTCTGCCCCTGGTTCACTTGCACCCTCTACCTCTCTAAATAAATAAATAAATAAATAAATAAATAAATAAATAAATACATTTTACAAAAAGGCAAGACAAAACACAAATACTGAGATCCTGAAGTATACAGCAGCCTGCACAATGTGGGACAGGGAAGATAGAATCAAAACATGTCTTTATTAAACATCTTTATTAAGGACTGATATTTTGAGCAAAACAGACATATACTAAGAGACAGCCAATTTCAAGATTTCTTAGATTTAAAATAAATACAGAATTTACCATGGGCCAGGAGGAGCTGGTGAGAGTCCTAGCCCTTATAACTGAACAATGCAAAGTTAATTATGGGGCATCCATTAAACCTACAGCCAAATTGTTACTTTTCAAGTCAGGGCACATGTCAATAGGTAGAAAGAACAGTGAAGGCATTAACAATTGCTTTTCCTTCCTATGAACCTATATGTTTATTATTATGGCTATTATTTGCCTCCTTAGCATTCCTCCTTCTATTCTAGCAAAACCTCACTATTTACTTGGTAACCGACCCCCTTCCCCAGTCTCAGTCCACATGGTCTGGGTAGATCTCCAGCCCCAACACCAGGGATGCAGTGTGTGGCCCAAGTATCAGCCAATCAGCCCCCCCATATTTCTCTAGTCACAGAACTGGGTATGGAGACAATCGCGGTATGTTCAATCACAGTTAAGTCTAGATCCCATGAGAAGATTCAGGAAAAGCATTCTATATCCATGTCACCACCAAATGGGAAAAATGGAGACAACCCAGTAGGAAGCAACTGCAAGATAAAAAGATAAAAACCAGGTGCTGGTGATACCACCTGGCTCTTGATCAAGCTATTTCTGAAGTCTTTTATTTATTTATTTATTTTTTAAACCTATTTACATTTTCTTTAAGGCTTATTTATTATTTTTGAGAGAGAAAGAGACAGACGGAGAGAGAGAGAGAGAGAGAGAGTGCAAGCAGGGGAGGGGCAGAGAGAAGGGGAGACACAGAATCGGAAGCAGATTCCAGGCTCTCAGCTGTCAGCACAGAGCGCAACGCAGGGCTCGAACTCACAAACCGCGAGATCGTGACCTAAGCTGAAGTCGGATACCTAACCAACTGAGCCACCCAGGAGTCCCAGAAGCCTTTTATACTTAAGCCAATTCAGGTTGAGGTTTTTTTTGTCCCTTGCAAATGAAATAACCCCAATGTATGCAGAGGAGAGGCTGAGTAAAGCTTTGGAAGGGTAAGAAATTGTTTTTTATCCACTTTCCAAATCTTCTAAAACTCATCTTCACCTTGAAAAATCAAATTTTACAGGGGCACCTGGGTGGCTCAGTCGGTTGGGCGTCCGACTTCGGCTCAGGTCATGATCTCGCGGTCTGTGAGTTCCAGCCCTGCATCGGGCTCTGTGCTGACGGCTCCGAGCCTGGAGCCTGTTTCGGATTCTGTGTCTCCCTCTCTCTCGGCCCCTCCCCCGTTCATGCTCTGTCTCTCTCTGTCTCAAAAATAAATAAACGTTAACAAAAATTTTTTTTAATCAAATTTTACTGTCAACGTACAACTCTATTCATCCCCACAACTCTTCTGACCTCTGCCCTCTAAAGAAATGTTGAGCTTTCACAGCTTAGAGGTTAATGTTGGGTCGTCTGACTTTTGCTATGGTAATCGTGTTCCCTAGACAGTCCAACTAGTACAACCTTTACCTGTTACCACAAAGAATTTCTGTATTTATCCATATTGAACTTTCGCGAGGCAAACAAAAGCAACTTGTGAAGATTTACCAATGGTGAAAATGGCTCAAATAACTAACCTGAGAACACCCAGTCATATGAAAGGGTTTCAGTTTACATTAACTAAATGTTTGTTTGATATGTAGAACTGATTTCAGTTAAAGCTGTTTAAACAGAAAAAAAAAAAAGGAATGTGGACAATATTAAGACAATAGCTGCCGAAACTTATCTGTGGTATTTAGAGACAGTTGGTAACAGCAGTAAACCACACTGCTTTGAGAGGAGAGAGCGAACACAGGGTAGTTCAACTTCTCTGAAGATGCAGGTTTCACATTACTCACTACAAGAAGAGTTCTATTTAATAGATTTTGTGTGAAATTGGTTCCCATTATGGGAACAGCCTATTAGCAAAGCATCACGCCCTATGTCAGGGCAAGCTGCAAAGATCTGAAAAGGTTTTCTTATCTGGGGGCTGGTTATTTTCATTGATGAAGACAAAACTTATAAGCCCTGGCAATCGTGGTACCCCAAGAAATAAAAATAAAACAGATCAGCATATGTAATTAGTTTATTCAACCTACTGGGGTACATTAGGGTCTAGATTTCAGTAAATTAAAGCCGCAGAAGGAAGGAGAGGGGCATACCTGGAGACTCTGCTATGAGACGAGAATGCAAAGGAGGACCCCATCCATTTTAATAAATCAGGACTTCAGCTTCCTCCTTAGATGCCCAGCTATCAGTTGAAGCAGACAGTGCCATGATTAAGAATTGGGAACCGGGGCGCCTGGGTGGCTCAGTTGGTTAAGTGTCCAACTCTTGATTCGAGCTCAGGTCATGATCTCATGGTTTGTTTGAGCCCTGCGTCGGGCTCTGCGCTGACAGCGTGGGGCCTGCTTGGGATTCTCTCTCTTTCCCTCTCTCTCTGCCTCTACTCTGCTCACTCTCTCTCTCTCTCTCAAAAAATATTACATAAATAAACTTTTTAAAAATTTTAAAAAAAAAGCATAAGGGCCCTGGAGCCAGTTCAAACTTGGGCTCCAGTACCAAATGGCTATGTCACCTGTAAAATAAAGACAATCACATAATAACCACATAGATTTAGAGTGAGGACTAGTGAGTTAATAACGAATGGGCTACTATATGCCAGGCACTTGCCAGATGCTAAGAAAGCAAACTGCACAAGGCCTACAACTTATTGTCCCCAAGGATCTCACGACGTGATAAAATTTTCTTAGCAAGAAAAGTTTTAACATCCATGTCAATTCATGGCCACCCCCCTTCCAGAGAGGCCAGTCAGTAAAGTTCAACGCTGAGCACTTACTCCCGGCAGAGTTTTATTCATGAGTTGAAGTACTTCCCACGAGATACAATCTTTCTGGGCATCAAATCCACTGCCATGTATTTTATTCGGCTCCATAACCTGACTTTTTCATTTCAATGTTGTGGGCAAAAAAAAAAACATTACAGGATTTTAAAGAAATGTCACCCTCGCCATTTCCCCCACTGCCAACAGACGTCGTTGGCTGCTTCCTTAAAATTAATTAAGGAAGCATACAATACTTCCAGCCATTTGATTCAGAGTTTGAGTTACAAAAACAAACAAACAAGAAAAAGTTATTTTTATTTTTTTCTCCCTCAACTGCGGGGTTAAGAAAAGAAAGCTGCAGGGTGGATACCCCACGAAAGCTGAAGCGTCAGGACTCGGAACAGAATGGAAGTCTTATCGCTTCCGGGGTTGAAAAAACAATCAAAGGTCAACCGTAGTGACCGACCAATAAAGTTCTAAGCATGAAAGGAGTAGGGTCTTCATCCCTTCTCCAGGGTGCACCCAGGGTTCCCTCCCTCCCCCCCCCCCCGCACCGGCACAGGGAAGCTCAGAAGTATCAGAGCAGAACCTAGAGACAAACCCTGAGGAGGGTAATGGCTGCCTTGGGGCCGCGAACACTCCACGGGTGATGCAGATCCCCAGAGATGGGAGCGTCAAGGAGACAACACATAGCAACTCTTTTGAGGTTCTCTCAGAGCTCACGATGCTTAGACACCAAACTCCCACCTTCTGGACAGGCCCTTCAAGGAAATTCACAATTATTCAATCTTTTGAGCAGCTACAATACAAAGATGAGCAATTAGCCAAGGCCTACTGACAACCTAGAGGCCTTGCAGGTTCCTGAAGGGCCTTCTCAATCATCAGTGAAAAATGAAAACATGCTCACAATAGTGTCCGTTTCACAACAGGGACTGCTGGGACAACTGTCCTTCATCACCCTCTTAACTAATCTGTACCTGGAACGGTCTCAGAGAAGATCAGTCAAGAAAAACTTTTCCCCTAAAAATGTCTAGGAAAAGTCTGAAACCTCAGGCATTCAACAGCAAAGTTCAAAATCATGACTTATGACACGCTACCTCACCATTCATTGTAAACGCCTCCATCACTTCCACAGGTAGGCAACTGCCATCTACTTTTCTCTGCCAAGTCAGTGGGGGGCTCTTGATTTGGTCCCAGCTCAGCTCAGGCAGGTCCCTCAGGGGATGCGTGAACATGCCCGCTGGGGTAATGTCTCACCACGACACCTGAAATAAGTTATTTCACTGAGCAAGATGTTAGATGAGGGAGAGATGCTAATGTCCAATCTACTAAGAGCTACCCCACAAAGGCTCTTTCCCAGGAACTCCGAGGAAGATGCAGGTCTGACCAGACCAAACCATTTTTTTTTAATGTTTATTTATTTTTGAGAGAGAGACAGAGAGACAGAACATGCGCAAAGAGAGAGAGGGAGACACAGAATGCGAAGCAGGCTCCAGGCTCTGAGCTGTCAGCACAGAGCCCGACGCGGGCTTGAACTCGGCTTGAACTCACGAACCGTGAGATCATGACCTGAGCTGAAATCGGACGCTTAACCAACTGAGCCACCCAGGTGCCCCAGACCAAACCATTTTTAAGAAGGGAAACAGCATAATAACATGCAGGAGGATTCTGCTTATCAGTGAACGAAAACCTTTGCTAAGCATCTTTAGTTAGGAAAAAAAATAACTTCTAAAGGTACTCAGGTCTATTCCCCACAGTTCCCAAATTGCTTAGTTAGAAACCATCTAAAGGAAACAAGCCACATCTACACCCACAGAGCCTGAAGGCAACACATAAAACCCAGGGCTTCATCCTATAATTGGTGCAGCAAAGGCACATGGCCTTTAAGATAGAGGAAATCAAACAATAAAGAACCTGGGGGGAACGTTCATGGACCACGTATGCTATTGTTTCACAACAGGACACAGTAGAAAGTGATCATGTCAGTGCTCAATCCCAGGCCAGCACGTAGGGCCAAAAAACAGTATATGATAACGTGCTTTGGCATATGGAATTCATATGAAGGAGGTGGCCTTGAAGAATCAAAGACTGGGGGGCTGGGCAAGGTGAGCACACACCATATTTAGATTCATGATCTCTCTCTGCCTTCGATTTCTAGACTAGCTTCAAGGGGCTAAGGCTTCTGATACACGTCTATCCCACTTCGCTAAAGTATACAGTGTCAAAAGCAGCCAGTCACTTGCTGAAGCTACTGGGCTCAGATGACAATATTATGCTGTTAGATAAACAGTGTGATTTTACATATTTCCCCCACCCGTTGATGATAACAAAGCATCTCGGCCAGTCACAGAAGACCAAGATGGAGGGGGAGCGGGGGGCGCAGGGAATAACTCATGTTGAGTGTTGAAAAGAGCACCCATTCGGCTGGCCTGAATCCTGACATTGCAAGGTTTGCAGAGAAGGAAAAAATCAGAATTTCTTTACTACAGACCAGAATTTCTTTACTGCAAATATGGAGGAAGACATAACTTTGCTCCCAAGTCTAATTCAGTGAGGTCACTGGGCCCATAAAACGCTTATCTTGGGGCGCCTGGGTGGCTCAGTCGGTTAAGCGGCCGACTTCGGCTCAGGTCACGATCTCACACTCCATGAGTTCGAGCCCCGCGTCGGGCTCTGTGCTGACCGCTCAGAGCCTGGAGCCTGTTTCAGATTCTGTGTCTCCCTCTCTCTGACCCTCCCCCATTCATGCTCTGTCTCTCTCTGTCTCAAAAATAAATAAACGTTAAAAAAAAATTTTTTTTTTAAATAAAAAAAAAAAACGCTTATCTTTCTTGAGGTTCTAGTTATCAGCAGTGTCTCTACTTGAGGACAGATAGGAGAGAAAATGGGGCACTTATCAGGTACAGGGAAGGGAAGAAAGTCAGTCCTGAGTGCAGCTTATTAGCATTAGAAGTGGTTATTCTTTCCTTGAAAGGAAGAATTTCTTTGCCTTTTGTTCCAGAGATTGTGGCAATGTTTCACAAGGTATGGGGCAGTTCGCAAGATCCTAAATATCTCTTTAAAGACACTGTATGACCTCGTGGGAGCAGACATGGTTTCTCCTCTGCTCCAAAGCCCTCCGTGGCTCCCTACTTCCCTCTGAGTAAACAGAAAAGCGGTTGTCCTCACGGAGAGCTCCAAGGACTGATACAATCTGCTATTCCCCAGGCCCCTAGAACCACCTCTGTGACCTCATGTCCTCGAACTCACAGCCTTGCTCCTGCCATTTGAACTAGACTGTCCCTTACCTAGTCTGGAAACACCAGGCATTTTCCTACCTCACAGTCTTTGTGGCAGTTTGTCCCTCCACCCGAAATACTGTTCCCCAGATATCTACGTGGCTTCCTCCTCATCTCTTTCAAGTCCCTGCTCACAGCACATCTTCTCAGTGGGGATGTTTTCTAGTTATCTCAAGAACCTACTATATGATGAGCAGGTATATTAAGTTTATTATCTGTCCTCTCCCTGGCCTAGGATGCCGAGTTTACTCTCGTAAACTACCGTAAACTTTACATCCTAAAGCACACAGAAGAGTGCCAGGCACGCAATCAGTAGTAATTACTTGCTGGAAGGACGAAAGAGAACATTTTTGTGTTCCAAATTCTCCGCCGATCCTTCCAATCCGAACAAAGAGAGAGTCTCGGGTTGGTGATAACCTTCAACAATTCTCCATGACTCGGGACCCTCTTTTTTCCTTTTAAATTTTTTTTT